GGGACTTTCATGCAAGTCACCACGATTTCAAATTGTTTGGACTTGATATACTGTATACCTACCTTGTGGGTTGTTCTTTTTGTAGCAGTTACCAGCATCTACGTAGCTGGTGGCAGCTTCGTGCCTGCTCTCTAAACGTAACCTGATCTCGGCACATTTACAGAAGGAATTACCTGCCTCTGCAGAACAGATTTGGACAACGTATAGTTGTTAAAAAGTCTTCTGTCAAAGGATAAACATCGTTTGTTACAGTCAGTGGGAAAAGGGTATGAACTAAAGGGAGACTTTTGAGCCGTTTGATGGCGGTGAACAAACCTGTCTGAAATGACTGGTCCACTATTGTTTGTGACTTTTTGTGCCTCAGCACATTAGCTTAAGCTTGATGCAAATAATACCGGATAAGTAACGTGAGACAGGTACGTTTGCCAACACCAAGCATCTCACAGTCTCCCATTCATCTTGAAACTCTGATATGGACATTTTTTACCTCTATAATGACAATTACAAATAACAGTGAGAGATGTGGTACCCATCAAGAATGCTACTGACAAGCTCAAAAATTAGTATTTGTGGTGTTTGACCTCATTTTAAAATTTCCTTTTTATCCCGCATATTTTTTCAATAAATCCACTGTTGTGGTCATTTCGCGGAGAAATGCTCTGAATGTGAAATGGCTAAAAGGTAAATAATAGAATCTGTTGCAATTCGATAGTAAACAATGCATCACGTTACATTTCTGAGGGATGTTGAGTCAGCACCACTGTCACTCTAGACCCATGCCCAAGTGAATTCCTCTAATGTGATGTGCATTTAGGTGCAGCTTGTGTACATTCTGTTGAAAACTGATGCCATATTATAGGCAATTCAGATAGTTTGCCACCAAGAGATTGCCATGGAAAGGCCACTTTTTTGCATTGCAGAAAATGGTCGACAAATTCTATTTCCTGGCTGTGTGCGAGGAATTTGAATTGTTCCCGATGGTTGCTTGTTAGGGAAGAGGATTCACGAATTCAAGAATTTCCCCACATTGTCTACTGACAAATGCCCAGTGCAAATCGCGGCAAGGTGGCCCTACTTTTGTCGACCGCAGTCTTAAAAAAGTCCTCTTGGTGGCACACAGTATCGTGAATCACACCCACAATGTATGACATCTTAGGCTTACCATTCCATTTCTTGGCCATTTTGAACATGTTAGCTGCCCTGCTATACAGTTCACAGGCATCCTCTTGTTTCTGAGTTCCTCTGAAAGAAAAAAAAAAGGGAGTAGACAACTCTCATTTTGCCTACAACTTGTATGGGCAGCCAGAGTTTGCAGAAATACATGCATCACCTGCTGGTTGGTTTTTCTACTTTTTCCTCCAATTTGTTCAAAATTGACATTTGTCACATTAATTTAAAATGGGGTTTTACTTTCATTTAGTACTGAGTTGTACATGTAAGTATTGCGTGTACCATCCTCTGTTCTGATAGCTCCGTGGGAGTTTGAACACTTTGTGACTTATTGTTTTACTTTTGTTCCGACGGCCAACCATAGTTTTAGCAGCCACTTATAAAAACATGACTGACGCCAAAAGAGCGGACCTTAATGGCTTCACCCAATTTAACTGCGGTGGACGTGTTGGTCCATTTTGAAATAAACAGATTACCAGAGCAATGTTCTTTCTTTCAGTGAATGCTGCTATTGTTGTGTCAATGAATGTTTCCTTGCAATGCATGACTTTGGAGGATTTCGTAAATGGAGAAATGCCGATGAAAGTTGATCTCAGGGTTCTTGTCAGCCACTTCTGGAAAAGTGACGAGGGTTTTTCATCATCTTTGATTCATCAGCAAATTTCTCCACAAATCTGACGAGATTTTCCTAAAAATTCATCACATTCACACGGTGCATGAAGGTTGGACTCATTGCAAAGGCTCTTGACTGTGAAAAGATCTGAATTGCCGAGAGAATAGAATTTTGAATTCAACAGGACAAACAACTAAAATTTATTTACAAAAACAAGAATCCTTTCTTTTCATGCATGAGTTGACAGCAAGAATCACTGAGGCTTTGGAAAACTTGCAGTATCACTCCATTGCATGATCCAAAGCAAGACCAGATATGATATTTGAACAGTATGGATTTTAACTGCTGCATTAGTTTGACCTCAGGCGCGCACACCGTTTCAGTTCCCTGCCACACCCCAAGCGCCATCATATGCAACAAGTGCTTGACCGCATTCCGGTGACGGGGCGCTGATTATGAATCAAAATTGGCTCCTTCCCATACCTGTCAAAGCCTCGTCTGTACGCGTATAACCACACGTACATGTGTATACACAAAAATGTACATCCTCATGATACTGTACATGAATCATGAATAACTTGACTCCGCCCACATAACCTCACTGGCTTTTCCAAACAATGTCTCTACTCCCTCAGTTTAATACTGCATTCTATACATACGGCGACACACAACCGTGACCATTTTGTACATACCTTTCCAAAACAACGAGTGCATTTGACAAACAACGTATTGGCAAAGATGTCAACTCAATACAACAGCGCTGACAATCTTGACGGTATTTTTAAAGAAATGAAGGGTGAACATTTTGATGTGGGCCGAAATTTGAATTTGGGTGCTGACGTCGTGAGGAGAATCGTGAAATCAGACTCGGCTTTTGGAAAAAGATGAACAATGAATTTATTTGGTGCAGGCCAAAATTTCCATGTGGGCGGTGACAAGAACCATGAGATCAACTTTCATCAGCCTAAAGTTTGAGGGACTACCTCCAATGACTGACACATTTATGAATTTGTACATGATGTGCGTACACTCGGTTCTGTGAAGCTTCAGAAAATGCTTTCGCGAATACTGAAACTTAGCTTTTCAGTTATTTTCATTTCATAAAAACTTGTCTGTTGACAATGACACATTCAAATGAAAAGCATTTAACAGAATGAGGAAGTATGAGATGAGGAATTTCCATCCTCGTATTTCTAGAAATGGAGAAAGGGCATCAAATTCCAGGGCCTAGCTATCTCTACACAACAGCCATGTCCCATATCATGACGGTGATATTGCCTAATTTCGGTAGCTGCCGTGTTCAGATGTTAGCAATGTCAATGACTATACTTGCTACTCACCATGAGTTCCTGCAATCTGATCTTTGCTCTATGCATGGGGGTAGAAATACAATTTCTACCCCCATGCTCTAGGCCTATGCTACAACCAACCTCACTCAGCCTACCATCGAGAGCGTCCATGGCTCACAAAAACTGTAGAACTAGAAAGTTTAAGATTCACATAATAAATTCGGGGCAGGACAACTATTGACTCTCAGCTTCGTGCAAAAGGTTTAAAGTTAAACCTTTCAGAAACGAAAGGCATTCGTGTCTAGTAAGCTAACTACTGTATCATGTCGACACTCATGACGGTAGGCTTAATTTACATGCAAAAATCCATAGGTGTAGACCTAACTATGTAGGCCGACACGATCATACTCACCCGAAAAACCCACCGAAAAAACCCGACGCTGATTTTAATTTTCTGTTCGCTTCGTCAATCAGAGCTTTCCCTTTGGCTTCATTGTCTGCCATGATGAAACTCGTATAAACAAATTAAGATCCTCGGAAACTACAGAATTTCACAGAGGCCCTAGTCGCTCTATGTCCGCACGGCTTTTCGATATATGCTGAAACTGCCGACGACTCGCACACGACCTATGACCCATGACGTCACGGGTAAAGTAATGCATGACGGGATGTAAACAGACGCACGTGACGATTTTGTACCAAGCTCGAATCGAATCTTTTGAAAGTTTATCAGCCCAGCGCATCTGCCGATCTATGGCTGGGGCGGGCGCGGGCAATGAGCGTGCGATCGACAAGCATGCAGTAAGTGTCATTCGTTTCCTAAATGAAAACAGCCATGAATTCCGGAAATGCCGAAATAAAAGTGGACACTACTACTTCGATTTCGCCGCAGGAGGCTTCGGTACGTTTCATTCATTCGGTTCATTTTTAGTAACTTTCATATGGGCCTGTAGGCCTACCCGTTTCAAAAAATACCCCTAGGCTACAGTGCGTTTTTTGGGATGAAACCATCTGACCATAGTAGGGCCTACTAGTAGGCTATAAGCTAGACCCTTAAACAGGGCCCGACGAATACTCCGTAGTAGTATCCGACGGAGGAGTATTCGTCAGGCCCTGTTTACAGGTCTAGCTATAGGCCTACATGCAAAAAAACGTGAAACAAAAATATAGAAAAACTGATACAGTGTGCTCGGCCGACTACTGCAAGCGTTGACATGATTGGCAATCCTTACTTTAGGACACTTCTTAATTTTTATTTCACAATTTTTGTTTTATTTATTTTTTACAAGGTAGGCTAGGGCCTAGGCCAACATGCAACAAAATTGCATTGCAGCCTCGGACAATCTTCCATATAAATACTGCTACACAACCAGTGGCGTAACCAGGATTCTGAGCACGGGGTAGGGGGGTTTTGGCTTTTGGACTTACATATCACATAATCGTGATCAAATCAAGTGGAGGGAGAGACGATTTTTCGGGCGGGGGGTGCACCCCACGCCGCCTTTAGCCACGCCGCTGTACGCAACTAAAGCATTGGGGAATCTATTTTAGGGATGATGCTGGCAGAAAATGCGAAGCACAGATGTGCTGGTTCCTTTAAAGATTAAATAATTAAGGATTTACTTCAACTTGAGATTGCTTCATGGAAATGCGTAGGCATATGCTTATTGTGATTTCTCTCACCACGTTCGTAAGGTGATGTTTGTGAAAGAAAATGGACACAGACAAGCCGAAAGTACAGCAGACAGACGTGGTGATATGGACGACCTTTTGGATCCGTCAATGGGCCCCACCAACTTGTCATTTATCAAGTATCACATGAGACGTCATCGACGGCAGGTGAAGATCGCGCAACTCCCAATGCCGTCAGACAGTCTCAAAAAGACGGCATCAGCGGCTGCAGCTGCCGCCTCGGCCCTCGGTTCAGTTAGTGAGATACTGGACAAGGGGACAGAGGTGAGTCAAACCAAAATGAAAAACAGTACTGGGAAGGTGCGATTAAAATTTATGTTCCTGAGTTTGTGTGAAGTGCACTTTGGTTAATCTGTTTCAGAAATAAATATCAATTAGGCCTAGCATACTAAATTTTGTCATGTAGGAATGCTGTTTTATTTTCGGATGATAATGTTGTACATCCTATTTATAAGGTAAGTTTGTGAGTTTCAGAATTTTGCATCATAACCTCATGGATCGGAATGCCAAGGCCACTGAGTACATACAATCCTGGACAAAATTCCTGGGATGCTTGGCAACAGCCAAACGCTTTCCAGCCCCCATCCTCACTCCCCTGGTCAATGTTGTTATGTCCAGCTGGACATGACAAATGTCAAATATCAAATTCACTGTACACCTCACAGCTTTTATACTGAGATCACTGAGAAGAAATGGACCCGCACACGGTTGGGATCGGTTTCATTGTCGAAAATTTAGGAAATTAAGATCATAAATGGAAATAAATCAGCCTCAATCCTTTAGTTCACTGTATTCCAACCTAGAAAATTGCCTTGTTTATTCTGCGCCCAGGCACATTAAAAAAATGTGGTGAGAGAAAAATCCAAAAGTTATGCGGTGTTCACCAAGCATTCAGGTGCACGGATTCCTGAAATTCGCAAGGAATCGGAGTTACCGGCTTCCATATAGGACTCTTCTGGGGTCTCGGGGTTCCCGGCCCAACGCACTTCCTCCCTGCCCATCCATTTAACCCCCAAAAGGGTTCGAGCGACCATGCAAGGGAGGAAACGAGACAAGCCCCTAAGCCCTGGCCGCCGAGTCGGCCATACGTCTCGAACCTGCACTAAGGCGCTCACCTGGACTTCGCGGACAGTCCCAGCAGAACAGCTTACCCGATCGGCTAAGGTACTATTGGTATTTGACGGGGGCTGAATTAGAGTCTCTTCTAGCTCCTGACCGGCAGCAAGCGCTGGGAAAATAAAAAAGGATGACCTGGGATTCGAACCCACCGTCCGCTGATCTGACGACTGCGAGCTTAACCACTCGGTCATTTCAGAGATATCGCTTTCAGTGGTTCATGTTAAGAAGATAACAAAGTCATTAACCTTACTGCAAGAGATGATTGCCGTGTAAAGAATGAGTGATTCAAACGCTACAGTAGTGCATCACGTCGCCAAAATACACATTCACACGACCGATGGTCGTCAACATTAATGTTCTCGCTGACGGCTTCTCTTTACTATTTTGAAATGAACGCGCATCCATGCGGGAAGTCCCCGGACCACGTCGATACACTTGTCTACATGTCCAAACTCTTTCATAGTCTTATGTGAATGAAACGCCATTGGGGGGGGGAGGCGTTTCTATCGTCTTTTTTACTAGCACAAAGTGACAGCCGCACTAGGAACCCAATAGTTCTGATAACGTAAATAACATGCTGTGTTGTGTGGAATATCTGGTGTATTGCTCTACAGACACATTGTCCAGTGAAGAGAAACTCTTTACAGCAATTTCTTTCTCTATAATAATGTGGTTGAACAAGCACTTTTCCTGTCATTTTATAATTCATTTTCAACATCGTAGACCTTAAGTTGTATTTTCGGTTGCTTGAAATGTTGATGTGAAGACAACAGTGCGCTTCTTCGTATTAATACTTGCATTTTCTCATCAGTCACTTTTTTTACAGTCCAATGTTACATTGAGGGTTTCTTCCTGAGATCGCATCATAGTTGCGCTCATGAATATGGATTTACTTGTTAGCATGAAAGCAAAATAGGCCACACCCTTTGAAAATAGTGCATTTTGAAGCTTGACATTAAAACAAATTGATTGCAGCTATCCTCTCAATAAAAACGTGCAAATTCAGATTGTCAGAGTATAACTGGGATAAAGATGGAAGATGCCTCAGTGACCATTCGCACTTTCTTTATATATCATATGATTTCGTCATCTTTTATGCCATTTCACATGATTATGTCAGTCTGAGTACAAGCCAATGCTCAAAGGTTTTGATCTTAACGCCAACACCTTGACCCGCAAGCCTTAACACCATAGCCAAGGCTACGTCCTCAAGGTTAAGGCCCTGCAGTGAAAAGATCAAAGTTGTCACATTTTGACGAATCATGACTTAATTATCGTCGAATTGGCAGATATTTCCAATGCCAGCGTATTCGTTATTTAATTGCAGTGATATAAAAATCTGTGATAGGTGATAAGCACGATGAGTTCTGCATGACGTGTGTTCAAGATAAGATCGCGGCATGGAAAGTGAGGTGATTCTCATCAGCATAACATCAGTTCCCGAACGCGGTATTCTCAGAGACTTACTTTGATCACTGGTCCACACCGTAAACAGAATAATGATGTTCTACAATCACGGCCAGAATTGTTAGAGCACATATCAATAGACATTAACCTCCCCACGTCCCCCAATCCACGCTCAATGTTGTCATCTCGAGTTGGAGCGCGGGCCGCGCATCGACACCCAACGTTGAGAGGGGTGCCGAGGCCCAACGAGATTTGGCCAGGATTGTAGCACACGTCGTCTGCTTTCCATTTTGTTTTGACCTGCATCGATGTGGTACCGTATCAGTCAAGAATTAACTCCAGGGATTTCACTCGCAAAATGATTCTACAATAAATCTGTCAAGCATTACTGTGACAGAATCTTTCTATTCTAAATCCGCATGCTCCAACTTGTACTAACTGCTAAACTTCAAGATTTGGAGCTTGAATTTTTCCTGTCTGTACCAACTATAAAATCATGACAAAAGACGACGGTTGCACCGTTTCTTGAAGTGAAGCAATTATATAAAGAATTTTATAAAGAAAAAAGCGACTTCTCTTTCAATGTTTACAGGATGCCGGTGATGTCCACAGAAAATCCTTTGAGAGTGCCCATGCCTTCGAAGCGGCCAATATTAATGATCAGGAAACACTGGATCTGCTGGCGCAAGAGCAGCGCCGGCAGAAAGTACTGCGCTCGGCCGGGACCTTCCGTCGTCATATGTACGACTTGACGGAGTCGCTGGCCTTCAACGGTTTCATCTTGGGAGTTATTCTGCTGAACACGGGCATCATGTGCGCTCTTACCTACGACACGGTGGCCGTCCGCGCAGGTACGGAATCAGCAGTGATTAGTTTTAAGCGAAAAAATGTCTGCCAAGTTAGGGGGCCACATAGGGAAGCTCAACACTTACTTGAACTGTATTTAAATCTGTTTTATGTATATACAAATTTGCATAAATATACCCTGAGATCCATTCTCTAAGAAAATGTTTTAGAAGAATCTGTCAGTAAGGAGAAAACAAAGTTGACAATTTATTGCAAGAGTGAGTCTTAAGGTCCCCTAAGTAATAACACAATCCAGGTCTCTTGTCCGGGGACAAAATTATGTTGTTCTGAAACAGTTATACACTTTTTGTTTTGCATCGTAAAAACATCGTCCCAGCAAACTGTTTGGGGCTTTGAATTCCTTCCCCTAAAATTAGGCAGCGTGTCCCCAGTTAGTTGTGTTAGGACAAATCAACAGCACTGGCAGGCCAAAGCGAACGAAAGTACGGACACAGTAATTTTAATCTGCTGTATTTAACAGGATGGCACGCTACTGTCTTGGATCACGTGTTCTTGGTCATATACTTCATGGAATGCGTCCTGAAATTATACGTATGGCGACTGGATTACTTCAAAGAACAATGGAATATAGTTGGTTAGTTTGACAGGCTTCTTTTCATTTAAAATTTCATCTGGCGGAATAAAATCCAGCCCTGCTGGCGTAATTGCATATACGGGAGGCTCGGGGTCCTTAAATAATTAAGGGAATAAATATGTGCCTAGCCGGTCTTAAACGTGCGTTTTAGATCGGCTTATAGGAAAATGGACGCGACTAATGCCCGAGCGGCTCGGGCGAGGGCATTATCAGCTTCGCTCTCCTCAGCCGGAAGGCAGGTGTCGGCTCAGGCCGGCAACTAGTTTGTGCCCCTTGACGGCGTACCTGTACGTACAGAATCAACAGTAATACAAAAGTTTCTGATTATTTTGGGGCTTCTCACTACAGACTTTACCATAGTGGTTGTTAACATCGCGGATTTCAGCGTGTCTACTCTTGTTGGAAATGACGTCAATATTCTCAACTTCATTGGAATCTTCCGAGCGATGAGAGCGCTCAGAGCTTTACGGGTGCTGCGTACGGTTAGGTAAAAGAGTAACATTTCAATACATGTATGTGCTTTGTTTCAAACAACAGATAAATATAAACACCAACCAAAAATCTTATGGGTACAGTAGTTGTGGACGTCCTTCTTGCATTCTCCCAATGCAAAAGATCAAACAAACTACCGGTTTTAAGGGAAATATACAAAAGAGTGAAAACACACTCTCTAAATGAGAGACTCCCCTCATAACGCCACACAAAAAGAATATTTAGCCACTCGAAACAATTTAAAACCTCTCCAGAAGAGTGAAATTTCCGCTCTGCCAAGGATCCATTATCGAGAACAACTTGAGAAGAGATGTCCTTTATAATTCATGATTGCTCGTGCTGAGTTATTTCCACTCTTCTAGAGCGATTCTTCACTCTTATGGAGTGGTTTTCACTAATTTCGAGTAGATTTATGAGGGAAATTACACGATTTTTTGGTTCAACCTTATTTCCGACGCCAGATCAGGCTTGTGCTGCCAACTTTATAACCTTCTCTTTTTTTAGGTTACTTAGTGCGGTAACTAAAAATGCTACTAACAAGCTGAATCGTAACCATAATGTTGCAGTTACGTGCGTGCAAACAATCTCCCCATCCTTGTCTCTTCCTTGTTAACTTTGTGCGGCATCTTTCCTGTAAATTCAGGTGTAACACTGCTTTGTTGTTGGCGTTTTGCTTCGTTAGGTTTCTGAAAAGCCTCCAAGTTATAATGAACACTTGTCTGCAGTCAGTGCAGTCCATGGGAGCGATAACTATGCTGATATCTCTCTTTCTGTGTATCCTTTAATACAACCGAACAGCAAATACATGTGTACTGAACTGAACCTGGGCACATATTTTGAGGTCAGGTAGGTCGCACACAAACAATAGAAAGTTAACACCGAGAAAAGTACATCGACTCGGGATTCTTTTTTGAAGTACAGTACATAGCACTTGCTTATGTTTATCCACCTTGGGGAGAAGGACCCCTTTATCGGTTGAAAAGAGTCATGCTGGTGGGGAATATTCGTTTTGTTGGTAGCGGTGCGACCATATAACGCGTGCATTGCATACTCGTTCGTTAACCAGCGAAGTGCAGTTCCCACCAAAGGAGCTGCCGTTGCTAGAAAAATTGCACCCTCTCTTGGTCCGGCTCGCCGGGCTCATTATCATTAAATTTCTGATAATGTCACGGATTGTTAAAAAGACTGCAGTGTACAGTCCACTTTGAATTACTTCCCGGATGTAAAACTTAAAACAGCTTAACTAAAAAGTCGAATGAAACAATCTGAATAAATTAAGTATAAACAAAATATGGATCGGAATAATGGTACAATCATACATAGCTCCTAAAAGTAAAATAGACAACAATTCATCATGGTACGACATGGGTAGGACAATTTGAATAAGTCACTTGCTTTCGGTATTCTTATACCCTTATTTATTTGCTCGAGAACTAAGTTGTATAGTATGCAAAGAAGTATAATATCAGTATCTTATTCCATCTTATTTGCCTCAGTTTCACTCCATGTTATGCGGTTCTTCTTTTCGTCGGAAGAAAAAACCTTAGATTCAAAACCAAAAAGTTGGACAAAAATGAGGTCCCACCGAGATTTGAACTCGGATCGCGAGATTCAGAGTCTCGAGTGCTAACCGTTACACCATGGGACCGACACTACTTCATGGATGAAAAATACTCTATATAAATAACAATGTAGCTAACGATTTCACTGGTTCCCGACCTTCGCGATAATAATTAGTCTAAGCGACGGGAGCCAGTGTTCGAATTGGCACCGCTGATCTCTCGGTAGTTCAGCGGCGAGTGAGTCAAAAACATGAATTATTCATGAGCCTACTGCTGAACTGAACTAGTTCAGTTCAGCAGTAGGCTCATGAATAAACCGCCTGTGTGACGTGAGTACATGTACTGTACATGTACACATGTACTGTACATGTAAATGTACATGTACTGTACATGTACACATGTACTGACATGTAAATGTACATGTACTGTACATGTACACATGTACTGTACATGTAAATGTACATGTACTGTACATTTACTGTACGTACATGTATGTGTGTACGGTACATACAAACGTGTGGCCTCGATCCAATCACGACATGAACGCAAACAGCCGGCAGCCAAAATTATTCATGTTAGAAAATGTCAACTATCATGAAATACTGAAAATTTGGTTGTGCATTTCTTTGCCTTTATTATTAAACTTAGGCCTAATTATAATGCTTTATTCGGCTGCAGTACAACATGAATGGTATACATGCGAACGGGGTCCTCGTCGACGACAAGCAATTTCGTGACTGGTGGGCCGCGGATGCAGGTCGGATCCGCAGGTCTGGCTGCAGTGAAGATCTGGTCCCGGGTTAAGTGCAGCAGCAAACCGCATTTCATTTAGGCCTACTCAATAATAATATTGTGAATATGCTTCGGCGAAGAACACCTACAAACACTTGACTTCGTCCCATTCCGAAACTATTTGCATTCAATGAAGCGCTTCCTGCTGTATTTAGTTCTGCGTCATACCAACCATGATTAAGCTGTTGTTAAGGATCGGGTTAAAAATACAAGTATGCTGTCCTCTTATCTTCAAATCTAAATTAATCAATTTTCACATTGGACCTCTCATGAAATATGCAAATTAGACAGGCGCATGCGCGCTACTACACTGAGCAGCGAAACGGCGGTTGAGGTCCCACATTGTTGTGTGATACATAATGTCGGAGTGCAGTGGCCACCTTTGGGAGACCGCTGGCTGACATCCACTTGATCAAAGACACTGGTTACCACCACATCCACTCCAGCAAGTCTTTTGTATGTCTTGTGTTTTTTTCTCTCTCTCTCTTGTAAACTTTGTTATTGTATTCCGTGAACTTGAATGTTGATCCCGAAAAATGAAATAAATGATTTGAAATGAAACTCAAACAGATCCAGTTCCCTCAATCTCTGCATACCGTGATGATAAAGACAGTAAACTCTTTACTGGCTGAAGCATGCAGATGAGTGTTTTGGAATCTGCTCAGTGCCCTGGTTGCCTTCAAGGCATGCCATACCCAACAAAGTTCCAACTAGCTGTTCCAGCTCTTGCTTGTTATGATGCAACTGTGCTTAGGACTTCAATGTTCAAGCGCTTCTCTGTGTCAAGGTCAACAGCATGTGACAAATACTGACATTTTCGGTACATGGATACATGGAAATCGGACAATGTTCGTATAGGCCTACTTGACAGAATTGTAATTTTTGGCTTCCAAGAGACACTCTGAACAGAATCCGTCCAAGGAGCTATGCCACTAATCATCCGAGAGCTACATGCATCATAGACTTCATCGAGATTTGTGTTCAATCAATGGATTATATAATCTGCAACTGCAACTGATTCGAGATGAGGAAGAACAGAAAATGGAAGTTCATGCATGAAGATAACGATCAGAGCATTGAGGATGAGGAGGCTGAACACGCTGTTGCTGAAGATGTCGATTTGCAATATGAATGGACGAACACATCCTTAGAACTTTTGTATCTGGTCATTTCATTGAAATTTTGTAGTGGTCGATTAGTAAAATAGGCACCTAACCCAGGTATCAGAGTATTCAAATATTTAATTCTTACAATGAAGAACTTGAAATCTCAATTGAATTTATTTCTATTCAGAAAAAATACCATGTCACTTGATACCCTGTGCACAATCTTACAGGGCAGCGCGAGAAAGTTTTTCTTGGTACATATAAATACTTTGATTTTTCTCACTTTTACATGTAAATCTGACTTTTAGGACATATTACCGCTTTCTGGCTAAAAGAAGTCATTATAGGGAAAATGAGTGACATCTGTCTATGGAATTCGTTCCTTATATTCTTAAAATTACATAATTATTAAAGACGAAAATAATCAAAATATTTCTCTGTGTCTGTTCCCGGCATACGTTTTACCTGTGCAATCATCAACAACCATTTTTTACCGGAACCTTACAAACCAATCGCATTCCACAAAAGAGGAAAGTGCACCCGTAAACAGTGAGGTGTCAGCAGTGCACAGGTCTATCATTCAGCAATAAACCAAAGTACTTCAAATCATTTATTTGTGTGTCTTAATGTTGCTCAATTGATAAATACCAGTCAGTGCTAATTTATTTGAATTCCTTCCATTTCATGTGTCCATAAATAACCTTAGTAGCAATACGAAGTACGTAGTAAATGTTCCAAATAGACACTTCTGAGATGATTGACTCGCTGTTCTACCCAGTCTCTATCATACTGAACGTAAGCAATGACATACTCATCGGGTGTCCACTAAAAACTTGCAATTTTGTTTTTTTTTCTGAGCAGTGCATGGCAATTTGGACTTGGTACATAGTTACCACGTCCTGATGTAGTCTGACGAAGCTTGTGCTGGCCATCAACTACCCGATCGTCATACTTGTTTGCGCTGATCATGTTCAGTAGGCTACTTCCATATTGCTCTAATTTTTTTGCTGTTGGGCACTTTATCTCTAATATCGAGGAGTTGTCTATTATGCCATCAATGTTAGCTAGCCAGTGGTCCCTTTCGTGGACAACGAGGCCAGTGGTATTCACCTTTCTCCTGCGTACACCCACGCTCATTACACGCCCATAATATTGCGGCTGTGCAATTGGCTCACATTCTTGACCATGTCTTGTAGCCGAGCAGCCCATGAGCCTGTTGTTAAGTTTTCTGTTGATCCAGTTCTCAAGACTGGTTTTCTTAGGAACCTCTGCAGCCTCAATGTTAGTAATACTTACGTTACGCTGATCGAGCCAAAGTGATAAAGACTGGCAAGTTGTAGTTGCCTGCAGCTTCTGACGTTGTTCTGCATCGCACGATACGTACTTATTATAGGCCTACAGTGTGTTTAAAATCGAGATTAATTTCTTCATTTCTTGGACATGAGTAAATATTTCGGATATTGGCAGCCACCATATATAACTAATGATGTCCGAGAAATGATGACTGAGCACGAAGCAGTTTGAAGTTTCTCAAAGGTGTTGACAGATCAAATTTAAGCTCTACTTTTCCTCAGTTTTTGAAGAATAAAAGATGAGATGAGCCCGGCCCATCGCCATTTCCAACACTGGTGACTTTCCACTGCAAAATAGAACCGTTTGCAGGGCCCCCGCCGTTATGTCCAATTTTTTTTTTAGAAATACATGTACAAACTGGCAGTCCTGCTTCCATCCTTTCAGAAAATTCCCTCGCCACAGATGATAGATGAAATTTGTAAAGGGCTATTTTTCATCAATAGGATAAATCACTGTACTTGCAAAACTCCCTAACCCGGTTGATACACCAGACATGTTTGCCGTAATCGGCCGGGGTCTCTACGCCGAAGTGGATCCGAAGCGCTTCGGTAACTTGGGCTCCGCAATGTTCACGCTGTTCCAGTTGCTAACTTTGGACGACTGGTTTTACATCTACGCAGAAGCGGTTGCCAAAGACCCAGGTAGGCCTACATTGTTTAATTAATCATTGAGAGGCGAAGAGATACAAATGATCAATATTTGACCGCTTTCATATTGCGTAAAGTAGATATATTTGGGGGCTTTGGGCAGTTCTTTTGTTCCACAGCTCCATCCTTTGTGCATTACCCGTGAAATAGGAGCACTGGCCCGCAAGATGGCAGCCACGCAAATCCTCTATGATGTTCCAAAGTAAATATGTCACGCTCACAATCATAATGTGTGTAAAAGGCATTAGCGCGAGAACCAGCTCGTGAACCAACACGAGAGCGTACTCCATTCATTTGCGTGGCACTTTCTAGTTGACGTCACACTTTTGTACTCTATAGGCATTCAAAATATTTCACCCTCAGTTGGTGTCACATTTTAAACCCAAATGCCCAGTTTTCCCAAGTTAAAATGTCTTGTTTTCGTCTAGTATGTAGCAGTAGTGTTCTCATTTTTCAACATTCACGATTTATTCCCTTTCCTTGGTACACTATGGCGACTGTGGCCTGTAGGTTTACCAGCCATCTATTGGCAGAAATGTCACTGTAGCGTAGAATGAGAAGACACTATTGAAAAACTTATTCAATGAATCACATACCCGAGAACTATGATTTTAGGAGACTTACTGTACGAATGCAGTTGATGGGGAACCAATCAAAGCACATACATGTAGTTACCTAGTTTTGCCGTGGTTACAGGGATTTCGTCGCAGGACCGCTCTTCGGGACACATTATAAGCAGTTTCACTGTCCTCTTTAAACAGGTTATTTCCATATCATCTTCTATCTGGTGCTCTACATTGCTTTTGAGTACTTCATATTTCTGAAGTAAGTGAACATTTTAGTTGATGGTGTTTATAGAAAAATAATTCTTACAAGTCTGACAAACCAATTTAGGAAAGTACTGATCCAGTTCAGACCAGGGGTGGATCCAAGGGGCAGCAGTACTTTAGGTAGACTTTCTGGCACATTTCTTTTTCTGGCACCTTTTCTAAAGAAATATGAAAATATTCATGTGATTTATGAATATGGATGAGGGTAGGGTAAAATTCTGGCACAGTTTGACCATCTGTGTGGATAAAAATAAATAGGAATGGGGTGTAGGGTAAAAAGTTTGGAGTTTTCTAAAGAAATTGGGATTGCACAACCAGTGGAAATGTATAAATGTGCATATATGGAATGAATACACATAGGCCTACGGCATTTTCTAGGACGACCAGATCCCATAAACTGGATGTTGGTTTGCTTTTTTGTGGACAGTTTATTCGTGGCGGTTCTTGTGGACAATTTCCAGCTGACGTTGGAAGCGGCGGCGGCCAAAGAAGCCATACGTAAAGAAGCCATCGTAAGCTACCACAAGCAATGTCGTCCCTGCATGAAATTTAAAACTTAAAGCGGCCGCGGAACAAATTTTTGAGCCTCAAGAACTTCTGGAATAGCTTTTTTCCTGACAAAGTAACAGTAATCAAGTAACTTTTCCAGGACAAGAACTTGTTAACAATAAAATATTTCAAGGAATCTTCGCGACAATAAATTTTTAACGAATCACAAATAGTTTTCCACTTCTGAAGTTATCCCCCCTCCAAAGTAGGATTTACTGAATTAATTCAATTTTGTTGGTACGTACCCAGGCCTAGTTGAACCAAACAAAACCCCAGCTCGTCCACGCATTCCGTAATCTCCATTTAACCCACTCCACTTATAATTTTAATGATTGAAATGAATTTACAGAAAGTGGAGGAAGAGGACACAGACGAAGACACCCACGATCTTCTCCCAAAGAGTCGCGGTTGAGTAATCTTTCAGATTTTTTTTCAAAGGAATTAACTTTGGTAATGCGAGAGAAACCAACGTCTGGGGGGATTACTACCATTAAGCAGGAGTAACAGAAGAGCGTTACTTCTTTACGTAACAGCAGAGTAAAACCCAATTTAATAGAGCTTCATAAACAAATTATAATGGAGTATCCAGTAGAGAGGGTGGGTATGCATCCCCAATGTTTAAGTACCAATCCTTTCGAAACCGTATTGCCCCCTTTACTTTGGGGAGAATTCTTTTTAAAAATCCTCTACTGCCCCCTCCCCAAAAAAATCCGAGTATTACCACAAAACCTCAGTGTTATCATAGGTAAACCAACATACAAAGAATTTGACTCTGAATATAATATATTTTCAATAGTCTCGTCAATATCGTCGGAGGAACTCTTTAGGACCAAGAGGACGATCGAGGATTTTTACTCTAGCGATGCTTACTCGGACAGGTATGTACAAAGTTGGTTATCTGTCGCTGCGGTTGACAAAGAGGGGGTGAAATCTGCAACTGCAATGTGACTCTGCAAAACTTGGGTGGGCACTGTTTCCAGCTTAACAGCGGCATTACGTGTGCTCGTATTGCTCCAGTTTTGAAAGGTTGAACAATATTTTTTTCCCTTTGTCACTTCTGTCTAAAACGGAACTCGGTAAAATTCAACAGTGCTGGAGGAGGGTTCCACGGCGAGCGTATTCGGATGATGCACACATTCAGTTATTAGCAGACAGGGGGGGTGGGGTTCCAATATTGTACCTAGTTCCACCTGTCTCGAATGTAACAACCCGTTTTGTTTGCCACCAATATTCACTCTTCATCGTTCTAGGGACAGGATATATCTGGCTCACTGTTTCCGCTTATTGGCAGCCATTGACTACAACGGCAACCTGTCTAGGAATCAGAAAGGAACCCTGGACAAAATAGTGGATACAGTTCAGGAGGTATTTATCTAAATTTATTTCATTACACGTCCTGATGTCGTCTGACCCTTTTCGTGTGGGTGTGGGTGGGTGTGCAGGCGTGGCATACCTAATGTGGACCTCTGCACAAAAGAAGTCCACATAATGTTGGATGCGATGGCGTAGTGTGGACCTCGCACATGTCCACACGATGTTTCCCCCTCTCTGAAAAACCGATTCAGAGGCATTTTGGGGTCAAGGTTATCCGTGGCAAAATGAAAAGGACCAGTCCAGGAAATCATAGTCAAAAATCCAGCTTGAAGGAGTTTTCCTAGTTAGAGAAAAAGGAGCATTTTCCTCAAGTTTCCTTAACCACAGGACAAAGCAATGTCCACACTTTGTATGTAAAACAGGTGTGTGTGTGGGGGGGGGGTGCAACTTGATAACCTCTGTGCGACCATCACAATCCTGATCTAATTATCAATTTGAAATCATCGATTTGCTGTATCAGGTCGTGTCCAAATTGCTTGCACCATACGGCTTGGATATTATAAGTGTGCCTTTGAGCGCAGTGGCTAGAACCTGTCATCGGTGCCTACTAAATGGGAAGCGACTTAATACTATACTAAATGTGCTTCACAGCAGCCGGCGGCATATACATAAAGCCCCCGCTGCGTCCATTTTCGGTCCAAATTAAATTACAGTTCGTGTACTGTGGTAACTTTGGGAAAGCCTCACATCATCTGCCAACTCATGGTGATCAAATTTTACAATTTCCTACTTGGCCATCATAACATATCAAGGTGGGATAAAACATTTTGGCTGACAGACACTTTGCTGAGGTAGTGTTTGAGCCAGGAAAGTTTTTCAAACTCTAATCTCCTACGGGTGCTCTGCTGACTGCTGAGCAAGGCTTGCCCAGTTTAGCTGGTTCCCTATCCATTAGTCCCTGTTCAGGCCCAACTTTCTTTGATCAATCAACTATCAAATGATGGAAGTTAATATAGAGAATATTTGATTTCCTTACAGACCACCGATGACGCCTGATTGGAATTCCTTGTCACACTCTGTGGCAGGTCCCTACTCAGGATGTGAGGCTGCTGAAGGCTGGAACAGTGCACCTTCAGACAAGAATTCCGTCACTAGCCCAAAGTAGCGAAAGAATAAAGTGTACACAGTTGAAGGTCCCCATCGATGAATTTAGCTGTAAAAATTCCAATTCAGCCATGTTTTATGTTCTCTCTGGGGAAAAAAACACTTGCACTTCACACGGGCTTTAAATCTGCTCAAGAGAATTAGTGATGGCAAACTAGCAATCACTCACATGCACATTTGTGACTTGTTCAAACAAATTGTACAAATGCACAATAATTTGTTGGATTGGTGGAGATGTACAGAAATAAAACAGGCTGCTCTTCTGAAGTTGGAACTTTTTTTTACAATGCCCATCAAATCTACCGAACCTAAACAAATTGTCAGACAAGGAAGTTGTGACGATTCAGTTCGATGAGAATGACTTTATTCCAGTGGAACAGCATAATTCTTGAGTCAATTCAGAAGCATATAACTAGGTAGGCCTTCAACTAAATCCAAATGACATTTATATTGAATGAAACGATTGTTAATTTTCAACGTGGTGCAATACAAAATGCCAAAAATGAAAATTCATCAATGGAATGTCCAATACACACAATATACACAATGAACGATAGGATTTTTACATTTTTACAAAATCTTATGGGAAATCAACAGCTTTTCAGTTGATCCATAGGTACAAAAGACCAAAAAGAGAAAATCTGGGTCAAAACCCCCAATTTGCCTGAGAACCTTTAAAATAGACCCTTCCCCCACTGTTACTGGTTTGTCAGGATGCTACCGATGGATACTTTGCCCATCATGGACGGGGCCCATGAATGGTGGTGACTTTGTTCCTGTTGATGGTAGTAATATGTACATGTATTTATCAGTGGCAATCCTGCCCGAGTTGAAGTGCGCCCCCAAGCGGCAAAAGAAAGACAGATGGTTGTAACTTTGCCAGCGGGTTCTTGCACGCATTCTGCGTGTAGGCAAAGACCATACATTAAGGAATAAATTTGTTACGCGTACTCAGCGTCAAACGCGCCACTGATCTCCATTATAAACGCATGGCTATGCGGTGAGTACCAAAAAAACATGCCCTCTTTTGTTCCGCTCGGAGCGGATTTAATATCCCTAAAAATGTGATTTACTTCCAAAAATACAATACTTTTCAATGGTCCGAAGGCAAGAATCTGTGGCATTAATGCAGCGATGCAACTTTCATATGACACTTTTTTACAAAATTATATCCCAAAGAAAAGGAAATCATCAGCAGCATTACAAAGATTTCAAAATGGCCTGACTTTAGGAATTCTACAGTTGGTAATGAATTGAGATCCCGCGCGGGTAAACATTATGACAGAAGAAAGTTGATGAGTTTAATACCAACCACTTGAGGGCTGAATGTTCCTTTTACAAAGCCCGATTGTATTCTGTCACCACTTTACACACAGCAGTATTTTAACCTGATCCTTTACTTAACAATTTCCGTTACACTGGCCCCAAGATGTAGAATATAAATTACACGGCATGGCAAGTTGACATAAACTACTGGCAAATAATACCCAACTGACATGTAAAATTGCCGAACTCTGAAAACTAGGGCCGGAACTGTTTGTAAAAATCAGCTCAACTTAGACGGACAGAGGAAAACAAAAGCAATTCTGTCCTAGAAAATCGGCAACACTGAACAATTACAAATTTCACCTGTGCCCTGCCGCTCAGTAAATCTTGTGCATTTTTCAACTCCATGTGTACTAATCTGAATTCCAACAGAAAGGGAGAGAAAATAAACAGTGAGACTTTGGATCATTCCTGCGCCATCTGAAAGGTTCTAGCTCAACTATACTTACTTTAGTTTTGCTGAGATAGTTATCTATCTTGAGCTTTTCAATACAAGCCTCCCGACTTCTGAAAAAGCACCCATATTGGTTTTTCCCTTTACTGATGTATTCCTTGTCTTTGTGACTCTATAATTATCTCTTGATTTATATATTTGCACTGTTTACTTTTCCTAATCTTCACCAATATGGAAATAAGCGTCATACTGAAGGTTCGAATATGAACAATCCTGATCAAACCCACTGTGGTCATACTAATGGGAGACCAGTTGGTGCCTCAAGGTCCCCCACGGCACATGTCTAATAAATGGCAGGTTTTAATGGAAGCTGCTTGTTTGCTGTGTAAAATTCCCCCGATTTGATGGAAATTAAATTCTGTAATATGCAACGATCGGAGAGTGCCTTGCCTGTGTTGTAGTCAAATAGCTGTTCCTCCAACTTCTTAATATGACCCTTCCGGTAGTACATGTAGGATATGACCCCGAGGGCAAAGGTCAGGACGGCAAAGGTTCCCAAGGAAACCTGGGTCACTGGCTTGGGCTGGACTTCAGGGGGATGCCCGTAGACCAACACGGCAAACTTGGCTTGAAGACGGCAAAAACTGGATGGATGCAAAAGATCAGATTTGACCAATGTTGTATCAACAAGCCTCGAAATAGTACTACCCCAGCACACAAATTCTAGCTAAAAATGCTCCGGGCTACCTAAACTTGGTTCCTTGGTTGCCCTGTGGGCTAGTGAAAAATTCAGAATAAGCCAACCTGTTAAAACTTGGATATTTGAAATAAATGCATGTGTTCAATATAAATCAATATATCAATATAAATATAAGAAAGTAAACAAAAAGTAGCAGTTTTTGCCTAACGTAAGCAACCCAAATGAGCAGAGAGATGGAGCAAAGAGATCATTTTGTTCCCAACTCCGTTACCAGTGACTCAAGTGATGTTTAACTAACATACAGGCCTCTTTATTTATACCCTCAGCCTTTTATTTTCTGAAATGTCAAATTCTTTATTGGTGAGCTGATTACAAATTTGGGGTTTTAAATTTTTCTATATACGGGCTAGTAAAACTCTAAACGGGCTAGTAAAACATCCAGTTAACTAGTGCAGTGGGTCAGCCAGGAAAACAAGTTAGCGAAAGACCTGATCAATCATGTCTTGAAACGAAGATTGACTCGTTGCAACCAGTTGTGCATTTCATTGGTAAAGCACATGTCCTATGCCAAGTTCGGTAATTCCCTGCCCCCCCCAAGATATAATTTTGATACTACATGGGCAAGTCACACCAAGTACACGTGAACAGATGCGACGAAACTCTTGCCGATCGGGGCATAACTAAATAATCACTCTCCCCACCTCTTTCATCAGTGAAGTCAACGCCCTCAAAAGGACAAACTTAAGTGCACAAAATATTCAGTGTTAACAGCAAATTATGCACACGGATCAATTTACAGCACATATATCATATTTGGTATACAGTGGTAGCTGAAATAAAATCTAAGCAGCGGTTTCAACATCCACGTCTGTGAGGCTGCTCACTCGGGGGGGGGGGGCTATGTATAGGACAGCTATCAATCATGTGTTCTTATTGTCCGTTTCCATCCACATTCACAAAGATCAGTGACAGAAGGTCCAATCTACAAACAGTGTTGGGTCTTGGTAACTCCTGAGCGAAGCCGGTTATGAATTAAATCTCTTAAATCACTTCATAGACTACTTTATAAAGCATGAAGTATATATTAGTACATAAACCTCACACTGCAAAAAAGTTTGTGTTCTGCAACTCTGCGTAATCAACCTGCAGTTTCCGTTTCGGTATTCCCACTTTTGCAAGTGAAGGCTTTTTTTAACAAAAATGACCAAAACTCTCACAGTTTGCAAAGTTGTCGTTCCAGAATCCTATCCAAAAAGGCCATTAGGTTGGAGGGCATCAATGCTAACAGCAAATCAGGTTCCCAATGACAAACTGGTTCTTCAGAACATTTGGCTAAGACGTGAAAAAGCTTTCTCCGGTTTCTCACTGCAACCAGGACAAATGATCATGGGAAATACTCGGTGTATGCTTGGGTGTATTAGTAAAGCCTCACCTGTATCTAGGATCCACAACGGTAGCTGTGAACTGATAAATGCTGTTATTTATCCCTGTGGTCCATGTGAGTGACGCCAGGCCGGTCTGATTCAGGACGTGGTAATTCTGCCTCTTCAATGCTGCCAAGTCCTTGGTACCATTCAAGATGAAGCAGTGTTGGTACCTCTGAACAACAGATGAGAAATAAGTTCCAACTTCATGTCCAGAATGAGGAATGGTGCATTTTTTGGTCACTCAATGGCTGTTTTTGTAAGGGAGTGTCTTTGAAATTGCTACTCAGTGAGAACAAAGCTTATTCCAATTGGGACCATCCACTGTGTCTACTCTGCTGGAGACAACGTGTGTTTCTGGAAGGCAAAATGGAACGCGGTATTCCTACAAGGAATGTTCCAGTGAAAAAAGGTACATTCCAACTTTTGAGACATGCCTTAATTTGGTCTCTTTAAACCTAATTTCCATATTCAAGTTGAAAATAGCTCCGGGTTTATTTAAAGAAAACAACTGTCTGTATGCACATGTGCGTGGTTGTGTGCTTGTTGGCACGCATCTAGCATAAAGTACGTCAAAGTAATTTCACAAATCTACGAGACGACGATTGATTGTCACGGTTTTTGCCACTGATGACATGGGACCAATTGCAAAGGAGCTGCTTAAGCACAAAATTTGCTTAAGCGTGAAAAAACCTTGCTTGACAAATCGGGTTACCAGCCAAAACTCCATGTGATGTATATTGTTTTGGAATGCTATTCACCTGTCTTTTGGTTAGCATGACAATCACATAGATTTTGAGCTGGTAACCTTTGTTTATTAAACAAGTTTTTTTGAACTTAAGCAAATTTTGTGCTTAAGCAGTTCTATGAAATTGGCCCCAGGACTTAAGGATGCAGCAGACAAATTTCATCACCAATCCCATGAAAACAGGAATCCTAAGCAACTGATTTGCCCATTCTTTTTCCACGAGAGTTATAACTGTGCCTCCTCACCTCTGATGCAACTATCTCATCGCTGTTATTGGTGAGCGGTGTTGGCGCTAGCGTGTGGCATCCAGCCTGCAAAGCAAGAAGAACCGAAAAGATATTTGTGAGTAGAGTTGTCGTTTGATTCTCCCTTCAGCCCAGAGGGTTTTTCTCAACACTTCATCTACAGGCAGATGCTGCACAGGCTTTGATTAGAGCATTCAAAGATGTAGATGTAGAAGTTGGCTTGTTTTGACTCACAGGCTCACGAGCTGAAGTCAACAGAATGGACGGCAACTATGTAAGCTACATTTCTTGGACAAACAGAACAAGTCAAACAGAACCGACCTCTACCGTGTCCGCGTCTGAAATACTAACCGGTTCAACTGCATCTGCAATTCTCATGCTTCTCGTGACGTCCTAGTATAATAATTCCGATTTTTTTCGGTCCTGATGAAGTCAGAGCCACCTCTGACGAAATCTTGACACCTTTCATACTCTGACAGTGTGCTTGTTAAAAATTCACCCGTATATAATGGATTCCCATCGTGAAAGATGTGACACCGTGAACGTGGGGCTCCAATTCTGTTTTCCTGTTTGTGCACATCAATCACTGCAGTCACCTATGGCTGGATTCTGGAGACATCTCATTACTAAATATTAATGTCACGATTCTTTACCTGCAACATGCTGGTATTGTAGGAAAAATCTACACGACCCTGCTCTTCAGTGACAACGTAATTGGCATCCACTTCAGTGACAATTTCATCATGGTCATAACTGCAGAAAGAATAACGTCTGAGTTTACACTCTGTTAATATGCAGCATTCCTGGGAAAATAAAGGAGAGCTGTATAGCAGTTGGAAAGCATCAGGAAACTGAAAGCAAACACTCACAGAAAGCCTTAAGACTGATTAATAACTAAGGTTACAGATCACACACTGGACCTCTCTTCTTTAAATTCAAATGTCTCAATATCTTTAATATCTACAAATATCACTGGGGCATTTTGATGTATAAATTTGAGCATCAGATCCTTTCAACGGTCATACAAACTAAGTTCACTTTAAACAGTTCAATCCAAAATTTATAATACAAGATTCTCATCCAAGTTTCATATCTTCAGTGAACGAACAAATTCCTCCAAATCAACTGTAAGACACCAAGGCCCAATTTTATGGAATAGTTTCAACTGCCTATCCCCAACACGTACCATTTATCAATATTCAAGAAAAATCCTCAGAGTTTCTTACCAGTGATTTCAACTCATAAATATTCACGGTACTGTTTACATGTATTACTACAGACCTAATTTCTAATCCTTAACTGCCTTAATTCTAAACCAGCAAGATGAATTTGTATTGTATTGAGACAATTTAATGCAACTTTGTCAAATAATTTTGTTAAAAACGTGCAGAAATGGGATGTTTATTGCAAAACGGGGTGCTGAGTCTCGCATCAGCCTCGGCTTTATTCCCAGCATCCTACATCTTTGTTTATTGTGTATGAATTAATATCATAACATTGTATATCTGAATTTATTTACATTGTTTATCTACCTGCAATGTCACCGAAGATGTGAAATAAACCAAAGCAAACCAAACAGGGCATGTGGGCAGTTGTAGCAATGAAAGAAATGAATGCTATTCTACAACACATCAGCACATGTTCCATCCACATGCTTTAAGTCACAACTTTCTCAACCCCTGAAGATTAATTCCAAGAGACGTCAATACATATACCACTGCGGCACTGAACTCAAATGTGCAGTCTCAGACTCTAAGTGCGCGCAAGTCATACAACACGCATCATACTAGCTATGTGCACCGAGCTAGTTAACCCCTTCAAGCCGGGATTCTGTTGACCGTGACTGCTGGGCTGTGGTATACCCTGAATGGAGGGCTTTGTCCAGCAGCAGGCCCCATTGAACCAGCAGCTGCATGGTGAATAGACTGTATGTGTGGTATGCACTAATGCTCACACAAAGCCGCCGCTGTGGACGGCTCCCGGTATGAAGGGGTTAATGCACAGCAGAAAAATTGCACTAGCTAAAGCACTGTTTCACAGACACATCGCACTAACCGTTGCACATGCATGGAGATTTTACCCACCCTGAGTTGAAGAGCACCCCCAAGTGGCAAAAGAAAGACTGAGGGTAGTAAGTTTTCCAAGGTTCTTGCACGTGTTCTGTGTGTACGCAAAGACCATACATTAAGGAATAAATTGGTCGGGCGTACTCAGCGTGCTCCGCGTAAGACACTCCATTAATCTCCATTATACACCCGTGCCTATGTAGTGAGTACAAAAAAACGCCCTCTTTCGTTCCGCTCAGAGCGGATTGGTGTCTCATGATGTTTAAGCAAAGTCTGTGAGCTGCAGTCAGCGAGCTTTTTCGTGCGCTTACTGCTTATGTTGTCTACGAAATGAATGGCAGTGTCACTAACAGAAATTGCTGTACTTATTTCAACCCTACAAAGTGGGCCCAGATAAGTCATGTACAACATTTTCACAAGAATCCTTTTATCATTCTGTGCTCAACACCGGTGACTTACAGATCAAGTGATGGTCTGAACGGCAGCTGATAGTGAGCTGTGATGGGGCAAGCAAACATAGCCCAGTCGTATTTGACTATCTGAAAACAAGGAAACAAAAAGCAATGAATAAAATCAAAGCTTCATTGTCAAACAAACCAGAGCAGTTTTCACTGGAAATGAGAAATAATTTGGAAAATAAGTATGAAATGAAAAACTTGAGCTGATGTTGGAGCAAAATAGCAAGTGAAAAAAATAAGAGCATCATTAAAGTGCATTTTCCGGAGAGGTTTTCAAACCGTGTGTTTTATTAGTCGTCACATGAGTGCAAGTGGAATACAGAATAGTGTAATGTGTCTGTGTCCCATATACCACAAAGCCGAAGGCGAGCGCAAGCACGATAACGAATTTATCTTCAAGCAAACTTGACGTACAGTAAAGATGTTATATAAGGGCCTGTGCATGTAAAAATAGTGCATTGTGCTGAGTTAGAACAGCGCAGTAAGCAGGGTTTGATATGACCTGTGCAGTACAGTTATATGTTGCACTGTTTGTAGCCACGGATCAGCCAATCAGAAATGTAAATTCAAGTTTGCCTGAGGATAAGAGATGATGTCATTCACACAAGTTGTGGGCAAAATAAAAGCACAATGAGCATAGGAGAAATTGAAATTAACGAACAATAACCTTGATGTCTTCAGGATTGGAACCATTCTCCTCCAAATAGGCATCTCTGGGAAAATCAAAAAAGGAGAAAATGTACATTTATAATCTTGATAATGATAAATACCTTCACCAAACTCTTTCACACAGCGAGTGTGTACAGAGGGACAACAGTTACAGTTTGCAGTGTTTGGGAAGTGAAGAGCTGAGGTAATATGGCGGCAAAGCGCATTGTCCCCGATAAAATCAATGCAATAAATTCACATTGAATACTGTTGGTTTTACCGTCCATCACAAGCTCCTACATGTCACTGAATGCTGTTGGTTTTACCGTCCATCACAAGTTGCTACATGTCACTGAATGCTGTT